TACAGGTTGTAAAACTTTAAACACTCACCATGTATTGTATCACCTCTTGTACACCACTGATGTCCTAACACTGAAGAGCGGCCTCCATGGGCGAGTGCTGCCAAGGCCACGCCGGTCACAAGTTTTGTACTTTCTGCAGGCCCATCCTTTTTTTTTTTTTTTTTGCAGAACTGCGGATTGAACTCAGGTCCTTGCGCTTGCCAGACAAGCACTTATTCCACCGAGCCATCTCCCCAGCCCCTGCAGGCCCATCCTTTTGAGAAGCCTTTTGCGTTCAGTGCTAATCAGACTTTATTGGCTTCACAGTTCCTCTATTGCTAGGCATTGGAATTATCTTCTCTTTAAAGGGAGCTTTGCTGTACAAAGCCATATATTCTGGTAAATTAGAGTGTAGTACCTTGACAATTTTGCTATTTTTGTCTTTAGAAAAATCAATTTTAGATTTTTAAACTATCTCTGCAGTCAATTTTCCTGGAAAACTGAATAGTTTTATTTTCCTTTTCTCACTTTTATGGCTATTTCTGCTTTTACTTTGTGTATCTGCATTTGTTCTTTTTTCATAACTATCCATCATTTTCTTTGGCCTTTTTCCTCTGAAAATTTTTCAAATTAATTTATTGCTTTCAGAAGCTATAAGCTACTTATAACCCTAAACAGAGCTGAGAATGTCCTCAACCAATGATACCGGGACACATTTGAAGAATATCAACTCCCTGAGTGTCACTAATACTCTAGAGAGCACAGAACTAAATGTGTACATGGCACACAGTATTTTTCTGTAAGTACTTTGTGCCATTTAAAAAAAATTGTAATTACTGGGAGAGAAAGACTGGAAATCCTACGATTTCAGTGGTACTCCCTTTTTCCTCTCTGTGGCCCATTAAAGTGGAATTAAGCTCCGACTCAGGCTCACTGTGTGACTCTGGCTCGCGTTTGCCCTCAGAAAGCCTAACACAAGTAACCGCCTTCAGATAGTCCCCTGCTCCTCTAGTCTACCCCGCTCTGCCGGCACTTTACCCAACTGGAAATTCTACCTTTCCACAGTACAGAATCCAATCCAATACATCCAATACAATCCAATACATGGTAGGAATGTATCTGCTCTCTGTGTGTGTCTACTTCCCTTTTTACTTGACAGCAGGGCATGCAGAAACATCCAACCTCACGAACTCTGCTGCATTAGTACTTCCCTGTTGAGCCTGCGGCTCAGCTGCTCTAGTCTTGCACTGCAGGCCAGCCCTCCTCCGGACGGAGGAATCTGCTATGGGTGACACGATACCTCGGCACAGTGCGGGTGAGCCTCTGGCATGCCATTTACCACCACAAGTCCCATCAAGTTCGCCTCACTGACCCAGCTGTAACCAGGTGCTGCGATAGACGCTGCTCCCCACTTTGCAAAGGCCAGCATTGCTGAGCTTCTTAGAGAACTGCCCTCTATGGGACATTGGGGCACTGTGTCTAGGGTCTCGAAGACCACCCTCACACTGAGTGACTTACTGGAAAAGCCACAAGTCCTAGCACAAGATCAAACTTATAACTGCAGTCTACTGCAAAGAATATCGGGAGAACTGTAAGGGGAAAAGGCACCTTCTCCACAGCAAGCCAGGCACCTGCTCCAAGAGTCTCGCTTGTTCTCACGGGGTCCTGCAGCACTCACGGACCAGCAGTGACCACCAGGGAAGGCGGCTGGCAATCTCAGGACGGTCTATCACACTGGCACCCCCTGCCCAGCAGTACCGTAGCCAGACACTCCAGAAGGAAAGCGAGTGTTCACTGCAGGCTGCTTAGGCCATACCCACCAGGGCATGTTGGGACTACTCCAGAAATTCACAATGCAGGGCACAATCAAGGGCTAACAACCAGCGACAACAAGCTCTGTCACCATGGGTACTCTTCTCTGTACTGTACCTGTGCACAGGTACAGCCACACACGACCCCATGCCAAGACTACACACAGGTGTGCTACTTACCAAGCAAGACGTACTCCCCTTTCCCTCTGAGCAGACGCGCCAGCTCCCAAGCGCCAGCTTAGGGCCTGCTTCCTGCTCTACCTGTGTGAGTTGGGTCCTCCAAGAGGCACACACCAACACTGTGGGGCAATCCGCTGCACAAGAGCTGTGAGAAAGCTGTGAGCTGGGAGACAGCCGAGCACAGGGCAGGCAGGACCGCAGGCGGACAGCAAGGCCGCGTGAAGGCCCCGAGAGCAAACTCGGCCCTGGGGGTCTGGCAGAAGTGGGTCAGCTGGGGGCAGCAGAAAGAGGGACCCAAGCTGAGCCAGGACGCCCCAGCGCCCCTGCTGCCAGCACGCTGGTCATGGCTCTTGCAGGCCACTATATAAAGAAAGCAAAACCAAGAGAACTAGGAAGGAGGGGAAAGTTCAATATTTTCCCAAATTATATACTGCATTGTTCTGAAAGTATTTCCATATGCTAAGTGGTTTCAGTTATATTAACAGCTTACCTTAGTTCATTAAGAAGAGTTTGTTACTATGTTTCTTATTAGCTTACGTCTTGCACCGAGCACTTGAAGATAATGATACACAACAGAAAAGATTTATTACCAAGAGCTCATCTGCAATAATTTTCAAGCTCTTTTTTTTAAAAAAAGTTAGTTATAAGACCCCTAAAGAATGCTGGTTGACAATGGAAACTACGGCATCTTTTAAATTTCACAAAACAAATTATCATATGGGGATGAATTCCAAAAAGTTTTTTCCCAAATGATATGGTGAATTGGGAGCTTAATTTCTGAATGACATGAATTGGGAGCTTAAGCCAACATACAAACAGCAACAAAATCAAGTTTATATAATGACAAAACCCAAGTACTTCTGAATATTCAGAATTCATTTTCTAAAATATTGATGTTTATATATAATTTGGAAACTTCTAGGTTATGTATACTGTAGACATTAAAACAGAATAATATCCTCTTAAATAGTAACAGAATTGGGTTTCTGCTTTTCATCAATATTACTGTCAAAGTAATATTGTTGGACTAGATCAAAGTTTTTTGCCATCTGTTAAGTTTCCACAGAAAACTCGTCTCTACAATTGCTTGGAAATTCTTCCAACAAATGTTTTCAGTAATTCATATGAAACAATTCTTACAGTTAAACAGTCCATTCCTACCCTTTCCAAAATGCTATCCTAGCATAGACAGCAGGTCAAGCCTTTGCATGGACATTGGTGGGCTGGTACTACTTGCAATAAATAATACATCAAAATATATTTCATGTGAAAGAAGCAAAAGAATGTTTATTTTTTAAAATGAGATCAATACCATTTTAATGTAGGAGGTGCCATCTTTATTTACAGGATAATAAAAAAATAATAAGCTCAACTCGATATAGTACATTTGTCATAAATGAAGCCGCTCCTAAGAGGAAGGCTGGGTAGGCCAAACAGCAGATTGCAAAGAATGTCAAGTAATGTGTAACTTCACACTGACTCACTGTATTTGTGTTTTAAATATGAAAAAGTAAGCCCACTGTGGTAGAGAAAACAAGCAGCACCAAGCTGTGACAACTTCTGGTAACTTCAATTATAACTGCCAACACTTCCAAAATTTGCATCTTTCTTACAAGTGCTTTAGCTATACTGTATTTCCATCATACTCCTATCAGAAATACTGGAGAAAATTTGAGGTAAATAGTAACTATACATACACACATATTTCTACTAGATACTCTCTGAACTATGGCTTTTCGGTGTATTTTCTTTCTTTCATCTCTTCACTATTACTTGTTTGGCTTTTTCCTAGAAGCCTCAGTATTACGTGGGTTTTTCTCCTAGAAATGTCGAAGAACCACAACTGATACGGTTCCTCTGGGAGAAACCCTGTAAGTACTACTTCATCCCCACAGGTGTCATGTGGATTCTAACATGAGTGGGCAACAAGATGGCCCTGACACTACCACAGAGCTCATGCGGCCTCAGTGACACAGCTCCAGGTGTGCGTGCAAACATGAGGTGGAACGAAAAGGGGGAGGGCTGCTGTCAGCCTGGAGAAGAACTCCCGCCATAACCATCTCACAATCCTTCCACTTACAGAGCAAACTCACAAAAATCTTTGTAGATGTCTATGTACTTCCTACAAATCAAAGAAGCACATCTTACATTTGCTAAGGACTCAGTAAGGATCTTCCCTGAAGAAATACCATTTTCAGTCCACTAGCTATATTTGAAGACAATAACAGCATGGTTTCATGTGTTCAGAACAATATATAACTTGCTTATTCATTAAATACTAACTCTTGCTCAGAGACAATATTATACACAAAGTATTTTAATATCAGTAACAATATATACTATGAAGTGCATTTCTAGTTACAAATTAACATGGTGATATACAGATGAATTAAAGCCACCCAAAACAAAAGCTAAATGAGCTACCGTTTAAACATAAATTTATAAATAGCAAAATCTTGAAATAAAGTATATACAGTTTATATATTTATCTTTAAACAAATATATAATGCATCTGGGAAAGACAAGAAAATGTTTTATCAACGTAACATCTAAATACTAGAAATGAGACACTGATAACATTCTAAAAGTCTCACAGGCTTTCTCCCCTTTAATATACCCTTAAGTGTTTCACCCTTGGAAACAGTGACAGGAGCAGAAACTACCACCTTTTCAACTGCAGTGCAGAACAGCGAACGGAGGAAAGACTCCAACCTTGCCCCTGGGATAAAAGAAGGGCAAGAGGAGGTGCGCATACGTGCATTCTGCAGCCCTGCACACACTGATATGAGTACCAGGCCACGCAAGGGCCTTCCCCCCTCTTGCCCGCCTCAGCCTCCAGCTGTGAGGTGACTGGCAAGCCAGGTGCTTAGAGAAAGCTGCTGCGTGAGCTCAGTACGTTCATGACACAGGACGAAAGTGAGCCTTTCCCTACAAGTAATTATCTCCACATTCCAGGAACATCACAAGATAAAACTTCATGAACAACTCAAAACAAAACACTGTATGGCCCCAAAAGTAAAAACTCGAGACTAAACATTAATAATGTAATGCTCCAGTACCATGCATACAGATCAACATAATTGAGAACAGGTATTTTACACTCGTCTCCATTTCCTTTAAAATCCAAAAGGTATCAGGATGCACAATAAATGCTTTAAAAACCTAAAACCATTCTTTTAGTTAAATAAAAAATTAAGTCTACATTTTTCCCAGCATTGTACAGACTAAATTCACTGAATCAATTCTGTCCTTTGAAACACCACAGTTAACATCTTGAAATATATAATGTGAACTCCTTACTCTCTTGAATTTAATGGCTATTTTTAATAAAATTCCAGTTGGCACTGTCCTACTCCTAAATAAGCAACAGAATCAAAACAGTAATGCTTCATTTGGTACTTAAGGGCCTAGTAATACAATATTCCTTTGGGAAACACATGCTTTGGTGCTGACAACTTCAGGTAAACCAAAACGGCCTTACATGCAATCGCTAATCGTGTTGTACCACGGGAAGGGGGTTGTGCACTTAGAACTGTCTGCATGAAGCCCTGAGGTACCCGCCTTTCTCCAGGCAACAAAACAGCCTCTCTTTCCTGGGATGGTCTTTGTCACCGTCCTCTCTAGTGCCCCCAGTTCCAAACAGCCTGACGAGAAATCCTGTCTGGAGATGCAGACACTCAGAAAGACTTTTTATGATACAGACCACTGTGCAGGTCATCGAATTTCGAAGCAGTGTCATCTAGCGGAGTCTCACTTGAAGTTCCCAGGTCTCCATTCTCCTGGGCATCAGTGACTGCCTTCTTATACTCTGCAAGACAGGAAGGGCAAAAGCGCAGGTCATTTCTGGCCTAAAAATATGCTGTTTTATAGTTCTACTGAGCAAAACCTAAAGGAATGCCCACTTTAATCGGCAGCAGAAAAACAAAGCAAAACAATACATTAATCAATACTAATTTCTAACAAGGGAATTTTTTCACTTATAATGGTAAAATTTAGTCAAATATATACATGTGCAAAATCTGAATGTATCTTTCACCCACAAATAATTCTGTGGTGTCACACATCACTCATTCACTGAGTGTGCAGCAATTCTAAAAGCTGCCACATCTCGCTTTACTATAAAGGAAAAAATTATGAGAATTCACATTCATCAGCATTGCCACCAGTCTCATGAGAGGATGGCTCAGAGACACTCAGGGGCCGTCAAGTGCAGAGTGCCTGACGCATGACTTACAAACTTCTGAGTACTTATGAGAGCTCACATTTTATCAGTGGCAGTAAACACCACGAGCTGTCTTCCTGGAGTGACAAACTAACTTTGTTCATTTTTAAGAAAATGGCTATCAGTCTCAGTAATCATAATTCATACCATTCTTTCAAAGTAAGAATTATCTTCTATCAGAGAACAGCTAGTTCTGATGGTCACTCAACTAGGTGCATCCCACCAAACAACAGGAAAATGCATGCGCTCAACAGCCAGTATTTCATAAAATGGACACCTGTTACATTTTTATCGTTTAATGTCATTTCACTGAAGAAGCAAAGAAGTTCTTAGCACTTCCTTAAGGATATATTTCAGTCAACTAGCATTTTTTAGTTCCATGTGGGTGACAAGGAAAAGCCACACCTGCCACTACCCTTGAGGAGAGGAAGAAAACTGTTCACCTGTTGGTCTCCTCTGCCTCAACACAGCATTCCCGCAGGACACCTGAAGCCCCACCTCTTGGAAGTGCACTGAACAACGAACAGATGCACAGCCATTTTCAGGGATTCCTACCTGGGAACACTCTGACCTCCCCACTGGCGTCTTTGCAGCTAGCAGCGGGGGTGCCGCCAGCTTCTAGCTCATCCAGGTAGAGGCGGTAACGATGGCCGCTCTCATCCTCATACTCCACGTTTTCATCATCAGAGTCCACCTCGGGAGCCACGTACACCACTTCAAATTCAATCTCTCCCCTCTACGGGACGAACACAGGAAAGAGGAGGGCCAGTTAGCAAAAGCAAAAGCGATCCTCAGCACCCTCGGGGCGGGCTCTCGGCGGAGACGTCTGCTGCTCTGCAGACCACAGGAAAGCTGGGCTCTCCGGCACCAGGGCCGGAGACACGGGCGTCCACACCACCTGCTCTCAACGTCATTTCCCCGTACTGCCAGAGTGCGGCCAGTCACAGCACTAAAATTAAAAGGACGCTGTATATTCACAGAGTTGTAGGAGAAGTGTTCAGTCCCAAAGTCATCCTGCCTGTATGCAGCAATTCAGCAAATCCACCTAGAAAGCTGGCTATTAAGTTGGTTTGCCTATAAGGGCATCACACAGCGCTCCCATCCTAATGGAAGAAACCCCTACACACTGGTTTCTTAATCAATCCTCTAACTTTTCTTTCACCAAGTACCAGACAAGTTTTAATCCAAGTATTCTGTGTAATGTTCTATGTCTCAGTCCTCAGAATAACCCCATGACAGCCTCTGGCAGGACCCAGAAAGCCCATGAGCACCCGCGAGGGTGGGACATCCCTCAGACACACATGTTGGTCACAAACACATGAAAGAACATGGCCCCTCATCCTCCCTCTTTCTCTATGCTAGACTAAGTTGTAATTTGTGTACTGGTGCCCTTTAATAACAATTTTAGGTATGATATTACAGATCATTTTATCAGAACAATTTCTAGCTGTCCTCAAAACTTCACATGTCATCTTGTCACTGAATACAGGTCTGGTGGCTGCAGCTCTGACAATGATGGCCTTTGTTCAAAATGCCATTTCTGCCTGCTCCCCACTAGGCAGGTGGGTCTCCTTGGTGCCTGCTTCCCAGCTTGAACTGCTGGTGAAGTTATGCATGACAGCTTGTAAAAAGTGCCCTGGCCTCCTGCAGGACTGCCCATTCCTAGCTCCAGTCAGTCCCTCTGGGCTACCAGACTGTGGTCACTTACGCTGGGAACACAAGACCAACCGTAAGCATTTCCCTGGCATCAGCTGGGCTCTCGACCACCACCCGGGGAGTCACGGTCATAGTGCAATGGTCTCTGGTGACTCTGGAGCTTATCTGTCTGTGGTTAGACTGAGACTGCAAGCTGAATATGCAGAAGGCAGTGTGCAGCCACAGTGGCCTGCACTGCGGAGTCACCAGCAAGACTTCTCTTTAGCACAATGGCTCAAATGCCGCTGCCCTAGAGGAATATATGCAGCATGTGGAGCCGAAGCAACGTGCTGTAACTCCACACCCACGGAGGCTCAATTCCACACTGCAGCGCTCCCCTGGAGAGCCCAGAAATGCCTCTAGGTACTAGCATCTCATTCTCTGAAGCTTACTCTCCCAGGCATGAAGAACAAATGACATGGCTGTGTCTGATGTCTCACCAAAGCCTCGTGCAGTCACAGGTGGGGCTTGTCAGAGATGGCAGGACCTACAGTGCGTGGTGCTGGGACGAAGGGTGTGTGACTACTAAGTAGTGGCACAGCTCTGGTTGGAATTAAGGGTACCCCATCAGGGTGTGTGTGCTGCCCGCCCTACAGGGAGGCAGCCTGGATACAATGTAAACGGGCCGTCTGTCACTTGCTGCCTGCCTGCTCCACCACGCCCCTCTGCCACCTGCCCCACTCCCGCTAGCCACCTATGAAGTGAAACCTCTATGAACCTTTTCTCCTCCAGCTGTTGGATATTTGGTCTCAGCGATGAGAAAAGTAACTAAGAAATACACGTTAAACATCCTGGGTAACTCTTGGATATGAAATCTCATTCTAAGCCTTAGCTGCTCTGCAACCTTGACTAAATCCTTAATCTCTTAGCAACCTGAGTTTACTCATATTTGAAAGAAAGTTAGGCTAGATGATTTCTAAGGATCCTTTCAGTTTCATGTTCTATGAATAAAATCTACCCACTCTGGCTCTGTCTTGCTTACGTGCCACTGCATCTGTGGTGTCCACTACTAACGATGTGGCTCTCCGGGCACCACGCTCCGTTCTGGGCACCAGCGCACTCCTCCCACCTCCGCCCCATGCAGGCCAGCAGACTGCGGCACAGCGAACCTAAATGACTTACTCAAGTAGGTGCTCACATGAAGCACCACACGAAACGGTCCTCAGTGAAGTCTGACCCTGTCGTGAAGCTTCCAAATCAAAGGAAACAATTGTCTACCTGTAAACACTTCACTACTTAAGGAACTTCACTGGAATGCAGAAACTATTCACAGTGACATACAGGGACCTTACCTGCTGGGAAAGGATGGTGACAGCTTCTTTGTGCTTTGTGTCCCTTAGGTTAACTCCGTTGACGGCCAGAATGGCGTCCCCCACATGCAGGCCTCCACACCTGTCAGCGGGCTGCCCAGGGTGAATCTCGGAGATGAGGATAGGAACACCATGCTCTTTCCCGCCCTAACAGCACAGAAGGCAGTAAGTCACTTTACGCACCATCAGCACGGTCACAGATTGTTCCAGACGTAAAATACTTTCATTAAACATTTATACTGTCCCTGTAAATGCTGGTTAACATTGTATTTGCTACACAGATCACGTAAATAAATTTGATGAGTATCAGAGAATTATTTCCATGGTAAAGGAATAGTAGTACATGGTTTTTTCAAATACATTCCAGAGTCAAAACAGCAGATGTCCAAAGTAAAAAAACTCAATAGTCCTAACTCTTAAACATGAATAAAAATACTTATAGATTAAGACTACAAAGCACTGTATTATCAAATCTCAATTGCTATGGGGCCAGCAAAATAGTTCAGTGGATTAAAGCGCCTGCTTAGGCAGACACAGGGGCCAGGAGTTCGACCCCCTGGCCTGCCGTGCCAGCCCCAGCCCCACCTCTGCCCCCAGGGTGCACTGAGCCAGCGATTGAGACTGGGTTTGGTGGTGTGCGCCTGTAATCCCAGCACTTGGGAGGCTATAAACAGGAGGATCACTATGAGTCCAATCTACTCAGTGAGACCCTGTACACCCTGTTCTAAATAAGAAAAAAAAAAAAAAAAAATTCCTGCTATGTATAGTAAGAGCGTTTATCAAGGTACCAAAAGGTAAGATTTTAAGATGAATTTTGTAAATGCCAACATGTGATATTAACGAGACTGAAAAATGGCCACTACATAGCAGGATGCTCTCAAGAATGGTGCTTAGGAAGACTGTTTTGGTGTTTTTGTGGAACCGGGGATTGAACTCAGGCTCTTGCGCTTGCCAGGGAAGTGCTTATTCCACTGAGTCATCCCCCCACCCCTGGGAAGACTATGTGAAAAGGCACTAAATTAATAAAAGAAAATGTAATGTGTAGACCCAGAGAGAATGAGAGCTGACAGTTAAATATGAAACAAGAGAAACGTAACATATACCCTTTGAGGAAAAAATCCCATACCATCTAGAACATTAACCACGGAAGGTAACAGCCCTTATGGGTCCCAAAGGTTTCCATAAGCATCGCAGTGTCTGATACAATACCATGACTTGGGTCACAATAAAAACGCTGATACTACATAGGAACATTTAACAGCGGTCAGGCAGATTCAAAATTGTCGGCACCCAGCTGCTGGATAACTGACATATTAGAACATGCATCGAGAACACTGTTCCCCACACTAGGGCTCCAAAGGAGCAGGACTGTATCAGACAGCTATACAGAGGAAAATGCAGCGCTGCTTCTTACTGTAATTGAAATGCCAAGGCCTTCATGGTCTTCCTTAAGGAGAAGAACTTTTCTAATGGGACCAACTCCTTGGCTTTTCTTTAAAGAATCTTGATCCTTATTGAAGGGAAAAAAAATTAGTATTAGTTAAATCATATACCAAACAAGAGTATTCTTGTTCTATATTACTTGCTCTTAGAAATCGATTACACTCTTGGTATGGAAAGAGTACAGTATTAAGAGATTAAAACATACAGTGCAAAATGAAATTATCACCAGGAATTAATCACAAGTATCTTCTAGGAGTTTTTGTGTGTAACTACCTATCTTCACCTGACAGTATCCTAAAAGGCTTATATCAGTTTTAAGTGGTCTGTAGGCAAGAAAACAGATTTCAAGTGTGGTCACGTCTACTCCCCAGCTCTGGCACTGCTCCCTAAAAGCCTTGGTTCCGTCAATGACTCTGGCTCTCCAGCCTCCCCCCTCCCCGTACCCCCCTCCCAGATCCTTTCCTAGTCACAGGCAAGCACAAAACATCTTCCAGTGTTCATGAGCTAAACCCTCAGGCATGGACCCTCCCATCCTCCACAGTCCTTCTCCACCCTCTTCCTGACCCCCAGCAAAGGGGCTGCATTTACGCTGTCATTAAGGTTTGGCACCTCATCTGCGCCGCTGGGGCTTTTTGCCCGTGGTCACTGGTAACCAATATTACGATGTCTCACAGGGAGCCGCAGGAGGCAGGCCCTTGTCTGCTGCCCCTCCCTGGCTCCCATGCACTGCCCTCTCTGGAGGCCTGTGCATCCCCACAGTCCCACCTCAGTCTTCTCCGGCACACTATCTGGGTTCTGCCCAGCTCCCCCTTTTTCTGCTCTGTACTCCCCGCCCTGACGACTGAGTCAACTCTGCGGTCTCGGTTGTAAGAAAGGAATGTTTTCCTTCATACCTGAGCTCAAGACTTCCCCCCGAATCCTGGCCACACACCCACCTGGATGGAGAGCGTGTGGTCGCACTGGCAGCCAGGCAGCCAGGTCAAAATCTGCTCTCTTCTTTCCCTTCTCAGCTTCCTCGTTCTCTATTCCTGATCAGTGGAAGTCAAATCCCGCTCAGCTGGCCAACACGGAACTCTAGACATGTCTTCCTCACTCAGCCGCGTAACCAGCAGCAGCGAAAGCCTGAAGCACTCAGTCCCCAGGTCCCGGTTCTCTCAAAACCCTCCGAAAGCGCACCCAGCCCCATCACCTTCTCTGCGCATCACCACAGACTCTCTGACTGGGTACACCATGACACCACTTCACCTAAAGCAGCGCCACGATTACCAGGAAAGTCAACACTGCCTTGTATAAAATGACTTCTGTTGTCTGCTCACCATCTAGACTCTCAGTCTCTTGCTTAGCAACGTCCATCGCTCAGGTATGCCACCAACTAAGCTGTCCTCTGCTCTTCTCCTATTTCCCGATCTTCTGGACCTAGATGTGAACAGGTCGCTGATGCCTTACAGGAGCCAATGGTGTCTGGTGCTGTACTTCTCACTCTCCTTCCAACAACTCCAAGCACATCTCAGTTTTTCTTACAGCATCTTCCACAGAGGCAACACTAAAGACTCGTGAGCCACGAGGCCAAGGCTCGACACACCCTCACACAGCAAGGCCTGGTTCCTCAAGCACCTGCTGTCGTGAAGAACAGCAAAGGAGGGTACCACGGAACCTGCTCCAGCCCCATGGTGGCCTCTCAAGTCCCAGTCGAACCCAGACCAAGCATGGGTACATGTTACTCAGGGCCTGAAATGGGACTTGGGTTACCAAAAACTTCCTTAAAGAGCTTTCCTCAAATATTCTGTCAATCAAAATGGCTACACATTTACCTAACCCTAAACAAACCTAAGTAAATAACCCAGCTGTGATCCAGGAGCACGGTGGCACCGATCCAGATGACTGGCGATGTGCCTGACCGTGGTGGCTCAGGGTCCTCAGAAACACCTGCAAGACACTGTAAGTCTGTGTAGACCGTCCAAACTCATCTGGGTTTACCAAGTGCTAAATAAACTGTGTCCATTTTCAGTAAGTTGAATCCCATGTTCACTCTAAATAAAGGTTTCAAACAATGCTAGAAGAACAGACAGCACAGAGGGCTGGGGACTGAAGTGAAGACACGGCAGAAAGCGGCAGCAAAACACATACGTGGCCCGGTGGTGCCTGCATGGGTCGCTTCAGGTCATTCCGTCCCCTGCAGGCTCTGATGACAGTCTTATGCCGGTGCAAATGGATTTCAGCTTCCAGCTGGTTCCACAGCTTATCATGAGCGGGGCCCTTCATGTCTCTTCCTAGTAACTGTATTTGCTGGACCCTTCATGTTGAAAAATGAGTTCAGTTAGTTTTTTCCTTATACTTAACTACAGAACTCAAAAGAACTACTAAATGTAAGAATCTTTTACATAAATCTCCATTAGTAATAAAAATATTCAAGAGCCTCTACATGTTTCTCAGATTAATGAAAATATGAAAACTCTAATAAGGACAGGAATCAAGGGAAAATAAAAAAAAATTGGGGAAAAAAATGACAACTCTTAGTCACATACTGTATTTACTTTATATACTTTAAAAAACAATTTATGAGATCAGCACCAATTAACATGTGTTTTCTGTCTTGCGTACAAGGGAACTTAGAACTGAATTCAGATACATTATTATGCATTAGCTTTTAGATGACACTGACTGAACAAAAGTCTCTCTTCCACTGAGTTGCTTTTCATAAAACTAAATTTTCATAACAAAAAATTATCTCATGATACAATTTTAATTTTTATCTCAAGATGATAACTGCTTCACATCAGTTCTCAGAGTAACATCATAAAAAGATTCAGTACTAAGAAACATCAGTTTGTGAACACGTAGCAAAGTGACTGCCACAGAACTCACGTTTTTATTATAAAAGTCAGCTATACACTTAACCTCCCTACTTTTGGGAAGCAGGGACGCTCAGCTTCCAGGTGACCAGAGAAGTCCCCGCAGCTCTGCGGGCCGCGACCCTGCCCACCCCGCGCAGAGGCGGGAGCGGCTGCGGGGCTCTGGGGCGGGCTGTGCGCCAGTGGACCCGCACTTACCTCGTGTGGGCCAACGTAAGGCTGTCGATACTGATCTAAGAGAAGTAAGCTGCAACGCACCGCACAATCCATTTTGAGAGTCAACCTGGATGTTTCATTCACAAAGCACTCGACCTCACAAGCCATCTGTCACCGAGCACACGGCACGCCTGCTGCCACGCACCTCCCAGCCAGCTCTTTGTCCAGGTACTTGGCCGCCAGCCTGGCCCCGTACACCTCAGCCTGCAGAACAGCGATGTGTCTGCGCAGGGCCTCGTTCTCTTTTCGCAACAGTTTCACTTCAGCTTCAAGTTGGGCTTCTTTCACTTTCTCTTTTTTGTTTGCTTCAAGCTCTCTTTCCTATTGTAATTTTTTAAAAACTACAACTTAATGTACATTTCTTTATAAGTTTTAACAGTAAAGCATGCTCCTTAAAAGTCTATAATTCCCGCAATGAAAGCATACAATAAAACGACACTTCATTTCTAAAAAATGCAATACAGGTCTTTAAATTGGCACCGTGCTATCTCAGGAGCACTAGCTAAGCACAGGCCACGAGGCACCCTGACACGGATGACAGTGAGAGAAGTGGTTCACCTTCAAGCACAGGAGATGACTGAGTCTGCTGCTTACTTTCTACACATAATTCGGGAACCTGCTCAAAACACGCGCATGAAAACATTAGAAACTGAACTCGGTGTGCAGCTCGTCTCTGCCCACACGGTACAGTGAGTGCAGACTGCTTTCTAAGGAAAGCCCTGGCCGTGCTCTGGCTCTTGGTGAGTGCTCAACTGTTCTCTCTCACAGAGGCATGCACCTACGCTGCACCGCTCAGATGGGCCATCTACACGACTCTTGCAGTGTCATCCCAAGGCCAAGTCTTAATGACAAACTCACAGGTGAGAAAGAACATTCAATTTACTGCCAGATACAAAGCACAACCTGTACATCCCTGTAAACTGAAGGTTAAGGGTACAAAGGGAAAAGCCTTCAGGATTCAAGCACAAAATGAATGAGCAGCCCCAACTCAAGCGCAAGCAGGAAGAGCCTGCCCAACAGCAGACTAGCTCAACAGCAGACTAGCTCAAGGCCAGTACATGCACCAAGCGTATGGCCGGGAGAAGTGCCCAAGAGTCACATGTGGTCCCCAAGACTTCAAGCTTGCCCTCCTGAGCACAGCTGCCTTTCCCAATTCGAGTGCTTACAGAATCCCCAAGTCCTGCAAGAGTGTGGTTTTAGCTGCTCCTGTATCAAAAAAAACCAAAACAACAGAAAACCCTAATAGAAACTACTAAATGGTGTATATGTTAGTTTCTCTGATTAAAACACTTGTTTTGCATGTGACAAACAGTTGAGCTCAGGACCTTGTGCTTGCCAGGGAGTAGCTTATGCCACTGAGCTATTTTCCCAGCCCTACTAGGGTTTTTACCTTCTACAAAGAAAACTACAACCTGTAAACAGTTTCTAGATTATTAAAAGATTTGAAAACTACTAAACCAGGGATGGTGGTACATGCCTGTAGCTGCAGCAACCAGGAGGCTGAGGCAGTGACAGGAGGGTCTTATGAGTTCTAGGCCGGGCTGCACTACGTAGAGAGTTCAGAGGCAGCCTGAACTTTATCCAAGTCACATCCCCAGCGCTAGTTTATATTTGGATATGCAAAGTACGTATCATTAAGAAAATGAAGTCATAAACTGAAACCTGATTAGGTTGGGGTAATGGCACTGAATTGAGAATTTATATATATATATGTTTTTTTTTCTTTTCTTTTTTTTTTTTTGGCGGAACTGGATTGAACGCAGGCCCTTTCTACTGAGCCATCTCCCTGACCCTATATTGTTATTTCTAAAACAATTTCTGGTACAGAATTCTTAAGACCCAGTTGCTTTAATGGCCACCCAATTATTCTCGAGACTGATGAAGTTCTAACACATGCAATGCAAGAAGAAGCCAACATGCATATTCTTTTCCAGGGAACAAATTCAAAACACCAGAAGGGAGTGAGTGCAGGCTGCTTCACTTGCACCCATGCGCTCCTGCAGGCAAACCCCGCAGTCTTCTGGAGGAGAGGCTGGGAGCAAGCTGCAAAGCTCACAAGTTATCAAAAATGGACAGCTGTGCAACTACAGTAAGGCCATAAATCACAAAGAGAGAGAGAGAGAGAGAGACAGACAGACAGACAGACAGACAGACAGACAGACAAAAAGAGGAAGGAAGGAAGGAAGGAAGGAAGGAAGGAAGGAAGGAAGGAAGGGACAGACAGACCTTTAACCCCATGCAGCAAGAAAAATACAACGATCACCCACTGCACTTTTCAGGCATCTGAACTGCCATCATTAACATTTTGAAATACACAAGAATGACAACGTGTGATATGCAAATAAACACAAAGAACACTTCAGCACAACATATTAAAGCAGACAGAACTTATGTACTTACCAGTTCCTCCATAGAGGGGACAGACTTAAGGTGCAAGAAAAAAGTTTTATAATTAGAAAACCATCCAAAGAATGAGTTCCTTTAGTGGTACAGTCAATATAAAGAAAACATCTACATGTTAGATATCATTTGGGTAAAGTTCATTAGAATAAATACATTTGTAAATCTACAAACAATAACTATTAGATTAACATGTTTTAATAAAATTAGTCAACACAACTGGTTCAGTACCCTATAGTACTGAAGTGTTTCAAGTCTAGTGGTAAGTTTATTTCTTTTCTTTTTCAGAACCAAGGATAGAACTCAGGCTCTTGCACTATCTCCCTGGCCCCTTATAATTTTTTTCTAATGAAATTGTAGATGCTTCTCACTGTTAAGATCAAATATTTGAAAGAGGCAATTATGATCTGATTTTTTATTTCCATTAAATAAAACTCTAATTATTTATTTATTTATTTATTTATTTAATTTTTGGCCAAACCAGGGATTGAACTCAGGCCCTTGCACTTGCCAGGGAAGCGCTTATTCCACTGAGCCATCTCCCCAGCCCCTAAAACTCTACTAATTTAGATTTATACAATTTTAGGATTTAAAAGCACTTTGAAAGAATGTAGTATTTGTTTTAAAAAACTCCACCATATCAGTTTTAGAAACCAAACAAAACTAAGTGAAGGTAGGTAAGATGGACCGTGCCTCTTGTCACACACTCCTCCAGGGTGCGCCTCTCCTGAGCTTCGCCTGTCTCGGTCACTGCTGCCTCCACATGACTAGCAAGGTGCCTTGCACAAGGTGTGCTGGGTGTATAAGAGGGTGGAGGAAATGAGGCTAACACCCTTTCTATTTAAGCAGCCAATGTTAATTAAGAGGCTGCTGGTTAATCACGATAAACTCATAAACACCAACATGCAGGCATAACCAAGTGTTCAATAGGAAACACAGTATAAAAGAACATTATTGGAAGCCAGTGAGATAGCTCAGCTCTAAAGTGCCTGTTTAGTCAAGCTTAGGCAAGTGCAGGGTCTGTGGTTCGATCCCTGGCACCACATACCAGGGCAGGCTAAGCTGGCCACAGAAAAAAAAAAAAAAGAACATTCCTGGATGGCACCCAACTGTTCTCTCCACCTTTCTTGTCATACCGCTCTTATCTTACTGCGGCTGAACATGTGAGGCACAGCCAACAAGATACTGGCAGAAATCACTGAGGGGAACACTGCAAAAAGCTTTCTGGAGAAAGTAAACCTGCTGAGACACAGGCCTGTCCTTCCCTCAGACTCCCATGCTTCCTGCCTAGAAGGCAGACGGGAAGAGATCCCGAACCGCGGACAGGAGCGAAGATGGCAGCACTTTACAACGGAGGGACTTGCGCCTCCATGCCTACGGACTGGCATATCAGACTTGCGCTGCCTGCCTCAGCGCTCCAGTACGAGAAGAGTAACTGCTACCCCAGAATGAGACTGCCACACAGGCCTGCAAGTCAAGCTGCTCTCAGGAGGCTGAGGCAGACAGAGCGGCTTGGACTATCCCCGCAGCAAAGCCAATGGTGGAGCATCTGGCTAGCAGGAGGGAGGCCCTGTTACCAAAATAACCACAGAGTAACCCCAATTTGTTTTATGCACCTGAGTGAGGGCTGATACAGACTGTTCATATGTCAATTATAAGGACCTCTTAAACTATTTATAGGCAGGTCTTTAACTGAGGAAGACATTCTATCTGCTGGCTCCTGACAACACTATCTCCTGGAGATGAAGCTGCAGACGATCGTGGTGACGTAAACTCTGCACTTCCCACACCTCCATTTCCCAGTGGACACCTGAACTTTTATACATGGATGGCCTCACCCTTTAGACACAAAACACACATCCCTCTTTCAACTACTCACCAACTTCGCCTTAATTGTGCCAGAGTCAACACTGGGGCCGGTTTTCGCGTGAAGCTGCAGCTGGATGGAGTGCAGCTGTAAGAGCTGGTCGTGGACCTCTTTCTCCAGCACGGCTTTCTCTGCCTGTGTCTCTGTCAATTCAGATCTCAGGTCCACTAACTGTGCCTTAGAGAACAAGTGAAAACATTCAGTTCGCTGAATTTTCTTTACTTTGCTTTAAAAAACCAGCAATCAAGAATGGCAGTCTTTGACACAAATCTACGGATACTAGATTAGTCATTGAAGAAAACATTCTTCTAAACTGACGGGAAATAAATAGTACAAGTAAAATATCTTAGCTGGCAGAAAAATTCTACAATTAACAGTATTTTTTTAAGACAAATTCTACTTCCACTTTAAGAAGTTTCAACTTTACCTTCAAAACCTAGGTGAGCATACGTGTCTGACTCGGTCCATCGACCTGCACAGTATGTATCAAGAGTGGCCACCCACAGTGCCCACACGAGGGGCAGGCAGAGGCACCCCATGTGCCCAGGCAGCTCCCCCAGGCTGCTGCCCGAGACCTGCCCTGCACCCTTAGTCCTTAAGCTTACTCTGGCTAGACGCCAGGCCTCGGGCTTGCGCTGCACCACCGAGTACACCATCACCATGCCTGACGCCAGACACTGCCACCGGGAAACCCCGTCCTAACGTTTTTCCCTCCTACAGGTGCCTTCCTTGGTCTTTGCCTGGACTTCCAAAGGTCTTTTTGCTACATTTCTAGAGCTAGGGTTTTACTAAAACATATCTTTGGGTTAATCATTCTAGGGCCACTGCAGATTCAATCTTGAGTTCTTTCTGGGTGTTGTGTTTACAGTTCATTTTCGTAGAGTTGGTTATTTTTAAAGTGAAATTCACACCACTGAACCATCTCAATGTAATTCACCAGCATTTAACACACTGACATCATCCACCACCCAAAAGAAACCCGCCTTTGCCTGTAAGCAGGTGCTCCCCATTTTCCTCTCTTTCTCTTGGGCTTCTGGTCAATCTGCACTTGGCCTCCACTGATTTACGAAGTCCAGATACGTCACATAGATGCAAGCATTGTCATCATCTTTTGTGCCTGGCTTCTTTCACTTAGAAGGTTGCAAGGTTCACCCATGTGATAACGCCTGTCACGGCATCACTTCGTCACCCCACTGTGTGTACCTCGCGGCCTCCTCACCCAACAAACATTAGTGACCCTGGCCCAGCCAGTGCCAGACAGGACTCTTACCAGCAACCTGCTCTGAAGATACAGACATGCACTTGTTTCCAATTCCCTTATGTACACCTGGGATTACACTGCTAGGCTGTTCAGCAATTCAGTGCCCAACGTGTTAATAAAAAACGGTCAACTGTTTTCCACAGTGGCTGAGCCATTCTACTTTCCCACCAGTGACGATGTAGTGACAGTAGTCTTAAGCATTCTGCTTCATGTTCTCTCAAGGACTCCAATTATACTAGTATTAGTCACATTTTTCCTATTTACAATCTTCTCTTAGCTTCCACCAAGCTTAATTTCTATTCTGCAGTGCTTTTATATGTTTATAATTTTCAACTTTGTAACTGGTCATCTTTCTATGACAAGCCTCTACCAGGTTTTGTCAGGGTTTTTCTTTTTTTGGCTATAGCACCTTTTTATAGGGTTCAAATGAACTCCTTTTCCGTTATTTGTGTTTGACAAAAGGGCTTTTCCCGCACCCACGGGAGGGTGGGAGTTGCCGCAGGCCTGTCTTCTTTCACTCAGCAGGCTTCCGGGCTCACCACGCGACCCATCGCTGCTTTGCTGCTTCCTCTGGCTGACAGCTCGCCGCTCTGCGTACGCACTACCATCTCCTCGTCCAGCACCTGACCAACGCTCTGCTACCATGGTCCACCCTGACAGAGCTGGTGGATGCCCTCCTCTGGCCTAAGGTGGCCTGGCATTTCTACAAACCCTGGCTCTGTGTGGCCAGCCCCCTCGTTCTGCAGTTTACCACCTACAGAACGGATCCTATCTTGATGGAAATGTTCTCGTCCCTTCAAACTTACTTTTGCCTGGATGAATTGAGATTCTACTTACCAGTGTTCCTACAACACTTTTCTCAAAAACAGCTTTTGTGAGGGACTTCTCAAACCTCCCATCTACCCTAGTCATTTTCAGTCTTCTCAAAGCCCCTCAGTGTGACCAACACCACCACGTTTCTATTCAGGTCCGAGCTAGAGGCAGTTCTGCCACCATCTTGCTCGCCTACACATCTGGTGGCGCCTGTCTCTGGCCCCTCCAGTCCGTGGCACACAGCCACGCCTCCTACCCGGCCGGGAGGGTACTGCTGCTCTAACCTCCCATTTCTAGCTTGTGAGAGCACCTCTGCATCTTGTCCCACTATCAACCTTTCACAACTTGTTTGTGTTTGTTTGTATTGTTATTCTTTATACTCGATAATTTTTTTTTCTCTATTTTTTAGTAAGGGTCTCAGGGTCTCACTACATAGATGGGACTCCTAGTGATCTGCCTGTATTCAGTCTCCCAAAAAGCTGGGATTACAGGTGTGTGCCTCCACGTCCCATCCCAATCACTGTCTCAGCTCACCTCAGGAGCGGGGCGGGGCCGGCATGGCGCACCAGGATCGATCCCGGCTGCTGTATCTGCCTAAGCGGGCGCTTTAGTCCGCTGAGCTACTCGGCCAGCCCTATACTTGATATTTTTAAAGGTTAATCAAACTGCCTCCTCACGACCCTCCTCAGAACCTTTAAAGTCCATGTCCACATAACAGGAAAGCCAGGCAACAGAATTTGATACCAGCTACCTACATGATTTGCAATGTTCCTGTAGCCCCATTTAAAACAGTACAGCAAAAACATGCAAAATAGATACCTACAGTATATCTCATGACTCCACACTTTTGGACACAATCAACAACAGTTCTTGACCTCCAAGTCCACTCTGCAGCTCATCTGGACAGGACCAGAAAGATTCCAGTGACACCTAGCAGTCACACCAGGCTGGGGATGACCACGGCCTTGGACGATGCCAGGAAACCCCTTTATTCTAATGCCCAAGCAGGGGCCAGGGAGACGGCTCAGGAGAATAAGTGCTTCCCTGGCAAGCGCAAAGGTCTGGTTTCAATCCCTGGTTTCGCAAAAAAAAAAAAAAATCCTCTGCTCTAATGCCCAAGCAGTAATGTGTTCCACTAAGACCCAAGGTGCTAAGAAAACAGATACTAGGAAGTCAATCACTTCATGGGACAGACAGACACAAGATACTATAAAAGGTGGAACTCGACCTTCACTGTCTCCCGCAAAGGTAAAGAACTGACCCAATTCTGCTCGTCTTTGCAGCACTGGGACTCACACACACACCCAGGGCTGTGCGCAGGCAGAGCTGCATCCCAGACCTGAGGAGCAGGATGTGCAATATGTCCATGAGTCTCTTCCTGGAAAAGCTTCCCCATGTGGTAAGAATGTCTCACAGGTGGAATTCCTCTAACACATTACCACTGAAGAAAAACTTAGGCAAAGGGTCACCTCGCCCGAACGGTGTGTGGCTCATCCTGGAGAACGCTCTAAAGGTAGGAGGAAGCCTGGCCTAGGAAGTCCTGCTCAGCAACACAACAAAGTGACCTAGGGTAGCGTGGCCTCTAGCACGAAAGCCTTATGAAGAGAAAACAGATATCTGCATCACACTGCACATACACTCTGAACAAGATGCAGCTTACACTAAAGCTGACACATCCAGAGAGACACAACCAGCCACTTAGACTGTACCAATTCTTGCCTCTATGTCTGTTGCATTGACTAGCATTCTACATTTATCTTGTTTCACTGTATTACTGTCTACATGTTCCTTTACTCCTTATTTTTCCCATAAAATGCATGTTAAATCTAAGTATTTTTGCTAGATTCACATACCCTTCCTGAAAGGACACAAGTACACCGTGTCTTATCAAAAGCACATACTGGGACTAGGAAGATAACTCACTGGAATAAGTGCTTCCCTGGCAAGCACAAGGGCCTGAGTTCAATCTCCGGTTCTGCAAAAAAAATTAAAAAAAAAGGACATACTGTCTAGTTGCCCTGTTTTCCCTTCAACCACAAACAGCACCAGTTATGCACAAGTGAACAAAACCTGCTGGAGTTAAAGAGGCGGAGCCAGCTGTGGTGGTGCAGCCTCTCACGCCCACCCTGGGAGTCTCAGGAAGGAGGACTGCTGTGAGGCAGGCCTGGGTTTCACAGGAGTCCAAGGCCAGCCTAAGTTAGAGTGAGATCCCATCCCAAAATGAAAAGGAGGCTGGCCTGGTATTCCATGGGTAGACCAAAATGCAAAACGATCTTTTTTTTTTCATATTTAAATATTTTAATTGGAAAGTATCAACAAAAGCAAAATGTCAATCACACAATTAATTCTAAAAAGTGGGAAAGTCAGTCACACAAAGGTCTTTTGAAAGTGACCCACGACTTGAACTCCTGATTAAATGAAGTGCTGGCTCCTGAAGTGCTTCAACTCAAAAGGCAAACAATTCTTTTAAAAAAAATACATACCCCAAAGCTTAAGTACAAATTTTTTGGTTTATTTCAAATTTACTCTAAATTTAATATTTAAGTTAATTTTCTTAAGACATAAGCATTTTTGCTAAGGAAAATTACTGATAATTTTATGTCAAGATTAGAAATGTGTTTTAAAAAAGAAATTTCTATGTATTTAATAGAAATCCTTCTAATGTCATAAAAATTTGAGAATGAAAAGGACGACAGAACATTACAAGTACTATTTAGAAAACAAGACCAAGGCCCACTGAGGGGGCAAGCACTATCTAGCTGGTCAGGGGCAAACAGCACTTGGACCCAGCATATGGCAGGCAGGCAGCGCCACACATTAAGTCTGACTCTTAACACACGCAATGCTTTTTACCAATTAAGGAAACTGGAAGTTTCAGGCTTTGAACAGGATTACACGGCTAGGACACAAAAGACCTAACCATGAAAGGTGCTTGGGTGTCTGTTACAAGGAAAGGTTTACTTAGTTCACAGTTACTGGAGGTTTCAAGACACTGGAGGAGAGGCTGGGGTGCTGCCATGTCCAGGATGACCCTCTCCACATCTCTGTGAAAGCACAGGCTAGCCAGTTTAACAGCCTCTCTGGCCCCACCCTGGTCCTCTCG